GATAAGTTGCTCTCTTAGTCTTAATTTGTTCAAGTGGTATGGTATCATACTTTTCGTTCTTGTTTGGTTCTTTTTCTTTGGGGTTGGGAGCTGGGTTGGGGAAGGAAAGAATGTTGTGAATGCGATCTAATTACGCAGGATCTAAATGTTGGCTATGTAAGCGTCTGTAGTAAGAGTAGTTATAAAGCAGTAAGAGTAGGTATGAACCTTCCTCAAATGATTTATGAAGTCACGTCTCCTCCAACAAAAAATACTTATGAACAAATTTAGAGCATGTTCGGAAAGTCACTATATAATTGGATGTAGATGTAGTATAGTCATTTTTGTTACTTTTTCCTTTATTAAAATATGAAGCTAATCCCATGTAGAAATTAGATTAAATTTCATACTGGAAATTCGAATTGGTAAGGCCAAATCCCCTTAAGGTTTAACTAAGCCAGTACCTATTGAAACTCAAACCTTGTCTTACTTGTGCCTATTAAACACAATAGCTGACATGGCAAACAAATGTGTATTTCACCGCTCTTAATCGTGTGAATGGATTTGAAATTATATTTTTCCTTCTATTTTATTTAAATAAAAACCCCCTTTTCTAAAGCAACCATATCACCACCTTATTAACTCTATTACTGCCGCTCCTCCGCCATTGGTGCGACTAGGGGTGTCAATAGTTCGGTTCGGTCGTTATTTTATAAAATTTGTACCATATCAATTTTTCGGTTATTCTATTATGTATAACCAAAATTAGACTTTTAAATACCGTACCATTCATGTCGGTTTCTCTTCGGTATCGGTACGGTTCGATTAATTTTTTTTTTTTTTAAATATCACTTAAAAGTCACTAATAGAAGCAGAATAAAACAACATACGTATTTTTATAGGACTTATCAAAACTCTCTAAACATTTTTACTATTAAAGGGTGATGAATTAAGAAAACATGAAAGATGACCATAGTATAGATCCATCAACTATTCTACAGCAGCGTAAAAGAAACTAAGAAAAGACAAAGAAAATATAAATCACACTAGTGAAAAGATATTAAGTAAGTTGTGACTCAAGAATAAAGTTTATAGAAGATTAAATATTCGAGAATATAAATTTAAAGCATACGAAAGAAAAAATATTCAATATATTGTAGGCTGCTACTCATAATCGCTAGAATACCCTGTGTCTTACTAGTGATATGCTGGAAATAATTTAGTTTCAATAATAATATAATAGTTTGGGAATTAGGATTTTGAGTTTAATTACTTGTTGGCCTTGTAACCGTTTTCATAATTTCAACGCCCCCAAAAAAGTTAATGTTTTATTATTTTTTAAACTTAATATATAAATATATTTTTTCCTTGTAAATTTATTCGGTAAGGTTCATTTTTTTTTTGGTTTATTTTTATAAAATAAAAAACCTACCCTAATTATCGGCAAGGTTATAAATTTATATAAAAACCTTCGGTTTTATTAAAAGAAACCTAAAAATCTGTTCGGTGCAGTACGATGCGGTATGATGCGCTCGGTTTAGTCAGTTTTTAAATATCCATTGACACCCCTAGGTGCCCATTCTCCTTCGTTCTTCTTTCTCCTCACACCACCCTATCCCCGTCCCCTTCTTCCTCCTCCCTACTCACCACTGCCACCACCACCCTCGATCCTTTCCCTTCCCTCCTTACATGAAACGGAGATTTAAAAATTCAGAGATGGGGAACAAGTTGACTCAGAGGTTGAATTGATGAGATAATTAAAATTGATCAGAAATTGGATCAAAGAAAATTGGTGAAGTATGAGATTGACGAAGAAGACGACGATGGAAAATTTTCCGACCATGAAGCTTTGCAAATTTTCCATGAACTTCAAATTATTTTTGTCTTCAGATATTTAATTTTTTAGTCAATGGACCAAGCTCATACATCGTCAATCTGCTGCAGAGCTTGAAAGAAATCAGATTCCATAGAAGACTCTCCCCAATACGCAGCGTTTGAAACCCATTTCTTTCTCTTCTTTTCTTTCTAGATTTTTTACTTTTTATTTCTCTACTGACTTGTCTTTTTCTTATTGGTGTCATTTCTTAGGTCAATAGCAAGTAGCTTCACGCTTTGAAGTCTGTTTAGAGTTATATAAAATGTGTTTAATAGGTATAAGTAAGATAAAGTTTAAGTGGTCAATAGATACTAGCCTTACATAAAGTGTGAAAATGAAAATTGGAGCCAAATTTAAGGGGCCGTATAGGTATTTGGCCAATTGGTAATTTGAAGTCATTGTTGGTATTTTATTAACTAAGTCAACTGTAAATATTATTTCTTGGAAAATACAGAGTACCTTTTACTATATCAATTACGATTCATAATTATTTAACAAACTTTTTCAAAAAAAAGAAATTTGTATTTTAAATACCTGCTAATACATAACATTTAATATTTCTTATATACAAAAATATTTATTGCACATTAAAACTTAATTACATATTCATTTGAAAAAAAGATTATTTAACTTTTCAAAATTAATATTTATTTAAAAATGTAAAAATTGAAAAATATAGAACTATGTAATTACACTTGTGCTACCAAACACGACGCATATATTTTCATTGTTATGTTATGATAAATATACAAGTCTTTGTAATTAATAGGTTGTGTAATTACTATCTTAATTAGCAATTACACCTAATCTAATTATAACGTGTCCTTCCAAACAAACTCTTATGGGGAAAAAATCCNGAGGGGGCTTCAATATCACATGTAATTGCAAATGGTAGTACTTTTTAGGGACCCAAAAGCTTTGGAAATACTTTATAGCGAATGGTCAACAATTCAACTTCAACGAGGCTGAAGAAAAGCTCAACGACCATCCCAATGTCACCTACCCATTGTGTGAAGTTGGTAAGGACAACGAGCCTGCCAGTTGGATGGAAGAAAAGCAAGCGCAATTGATTATTTTAATTTATGCCAATATAAAGTGTGTAAAAATATTATTGGGTTGCTAATTATGACAGTTCATTTTTAATGGGTTGTTAGTTTGTAGTACCAATATAAATATGAGTTTTCATTATTCTAAAATTAATCTATAAATATAATTATGTGAAGACTAATTGCAAAACCAAATGAAAAAAAAAATGCAACTCCAAATTTGATGTACTTTGCTTAATGGAGTTACTCCCTTCGGTCCACTTTAATTGATTTTTTTCTGTGGTACATAATATTTGATCTTTTCGGATATTAAAAATGAATTAACTTCTCTTTTCCAAAGTTGCCCTTGGAGTAAAGAGCCAAGGAGTATTTGTTGTATTTCTAATAAACAAATTAAGGTTAATATGATCAATTTCATTGTTAATTAATGTTAAAAGGTTAATTTCTATATGCGTGAAAATAGTCAAAAAAATCAATTAAATTACACCAAAGGGAGTACTTAACTAGTAGGCATTAAGTTCCTAGGTTTAAAATCATGTTGGTCAGAGATAGAAGATAGATCCACGATTTTAATTTTATGAGTTCCAAATTTCAATTTCAACCACTAAAAATCATTACCTTGGTTGAATTGTGAGTTCATAGCTCAAAATTTTCAGTAATTTTAATAAATTTTATACTTAAAACCATATCTAAGATAAAATGTTTGAATTCAATTGAACCCGTAGTTGAACTGTTGGATCCGCCCCTGATGTTGGTACTGTTTGAAAAACATAAGGAAGATTCGGTTTACATGCTAATTAGTACGTACGAAATTAGGGATAATAATATATGATTATTCATAAGGTGAATAATAATGTGGATATGGCCATGGTGAATACTAATATCTTATGCGGGATTGCTTACTTTAAAAGATTTTTTTGGTCTTTAATCCTATTATTATTATTATTATTATTATTATTATTATTATTATTATTATTATTATTATTATTATTATTATTATTATATATTTTTATTTATATTCTATTATGCATAAAATAATATAAAGAATCACGCATAACTAATGTAGATACTAATAACGCAAAATTTAATAAAGCCAGCCAAACATTATGTCAAGTCAATGCAACAGTTATCTTTCTTGTACGAACAAATATTAGTACGTTAACATATACAAAATTTTGTGTTGGGATTATTTTTTTTAATACAGTAAACCAAATGATTATGTGTATAATGTTCATAAATTATTTGGCTTAAAGCCTAAAAACATGCAGACAACCACGTATATGAGATTTCTTTGTTATTAAAATCCTTTTTCGCTTGGTGTTAAGGGAATTTCCGACCCATCTTTTCACATATCAAAGACTAAAATTTCCTTTTTATTGTTAATTAAAATTGAATAATGAAACTCTTTTACACGTTGAGGCTTACCTATCAGCGGTCCAACCTTTTAAGTTGACACAGTAAAATTTATGCAAATGCACAAATATAAAGTAGGAAATTTTGGTCATAATTTAAACCTAAAGAAACAAAGCCAAATTCATTAACAATANTTGTGGTACCTATGCTTGCCTGAGCCGAGGGTCTATTGGAAACAACCTCTCTACCTCCACAAAGATAGAGATAAGGTTTGCGTACACATTACCTTTCCCAAATCCCACTATGTTTGATTATAGTGTTGTTGTTGTTGTTTATCTTTATAATATTTCTTAGTTATACAATTCTTTGAACTTTTGAAGATGAATTTAAAAAAATTTTAAAGATGAGTTTCAAATTTGAAAAAGTATTTTTTTTACCTCATTTTCAAATAAATAATATTTTTTACTCATAATACTACAATATTTTTCAAGTAAAATAGATACCCAAATTTTCAATTCTCAATTTAACTTTAAAAATTATACTTTTTTTCAAATTTTACATTTGTTATGTCCAAGAACTTAATTTTTAATTTTCCTTTCTTAAAGATTGTCTTTAATGAAATCGAAATTTTTTACTCATTCTTCTAGTATTTTTTTTTCTTCCAAAAATTATCCACCTCACCTAACGTGTCCCCTTTCCGCTACACACGTCGTATATATATAAATTCATTTTAAAACACACACACACCCCTCACCTACCTCTCTCTCAAATCTCACAACAGCTTCCCTATTTTCCCCCTTCACCTAATTCTTCGTCTTCATCTTCTTGATTCATACGTATATGGTAATCTCTCTTCCAATTTTTGTTGCTCTTCTGCTCAATAAGGTCTCTTCTTAATCCTTTAATTAACGCTTTGATTTAATTGATAATTCTTTTTTGTGGGCTCTGTTTTGGGTTTTAGAAGAGATTAATTTTAAGAAAATAGTTTGATTTCTGTTAATTCAACTATCTACTTTTCTTTTATAAAGTAAATATTTTTTTTCCTTCTTCTTTTTGGGGTGTAGTTAGGTAAGTTGGTTGTTAAAAGAGGCTGAATTAGTGTCAGTTCTATTCTTTCAATTAAGCTTTTTTATTTTTTTGAAAGAAGTCAATTTTCGTATATTATATTTTTAACAAGTCAACAAATTCTCACTTTCTAATGAATTTTCGCCCAAAGATTGGATCTTTCGTGTGTTTATATGTTTTCTTTGGAGTATTGAGCTGTTCAGTTATTTTCTTTTTCTGGAGCTATTCAGGTTTTGATTGTTCAAAAGTTGAGAGAACTAAGAATAAGACATCTTTTTGCTTTATTTTTTTGCCCTTTTTTATTTTTCTTTGCCTATTAGAAATTCGGTGAAATAAATCTTGACTTTCTCTTTAAAAGTTTTAATCTTGCTAATTTTGTTGTAGTTTTTGAGGAAAATTAATTATGTGGTTTCTGGGATTTTCTGGATTTTGCAGGCAACAGAAGCTTGGTGACAAGATAGAGTATTGTTTCAGCTCTTTCTGATTTTAAAAGGACAAAGTTTTTCTTGTGGTGTTTGGTGGAGTAGAAACTGTAAATGGAGGCTAGAGTTTCGCAGAGCCTTCAGTTGTCGTCATGGATTAAATCGGATAAGGTAGTAAGGAAACCCGGTGGTTGCTTGCGTTTCTCTGTGAAATGGAATGAAAAACTGATGCATCGTACAGTCATATCCTGCCATTTACAGCCTAGAAAAGCTAATAGACGAGTAGCATTGAAGGTTTCATGTTCTTCTCATAATGTTCAAGGTATTTACCAGTATTTGCAGTCTCATATTCCGTAAATATTCGCTTCAGTAGAATACATAGTAGTTGTGCATTGTATGCTTGAAACATGCGACTGATGCAGAGTTTTGAAAATACATTTGTATTTATGTCAAAGGCATACACACATATTCAATTGAATGAAGTGGGACTGAATGGAGTGAAATGGATTTGGACGATTCATATAAAGACCATAACTAGCTTGGGACTAAGTGATACTACTAGTAGTAGTTTTTTTAGTTGTGTGTGCTATGCTTGACACATGCAATTGAGTGTTGCAGACTTTGAGTAGTTTACAGTGTTGGGGATAATGTTTTCTGGTGAGCCTATGCCCCGTTGTACCTATGGGTTTGAATTTTGGCTGAAAATTTTCTGGTGAAATCCTAAGCTTCCCTTCCCCCTTTGTTTCTTTTGTCTTTTATTTATATTTTTGTTCTTTGGGTGAGGGTGAGGGTTGATTTTCTAACTAAGATCACCCTTTACTGCAATTAGAATATCCCCTTGAGCAGCTAGCTCATTGTTAGTGACGATATTCCCCTTTCCACGTCCTTGTGCAATTCATTTGTATATCTATTTCTCCTTTTCGCTCGGTCATGCTTGAAAAATGCAGACAAAAGAGAGGATTGCAAGGACAACCTATTTCTTTTGGTCATTTGTTAGTCCAAAGAAAAAGAGGGAAATATAAAACTGACTTCATGTTAGAAAATGTGGAACTTATCTATCATACCTTCTTCTGTTTAAAATTTAAATGCCTCTGATTAGAATTTGGAGGGTGTAATAATGAAAATTCTTCTCTTCCCATTTCCTGTTCCTTTTAGTATTCCTAACCGAAGCTTTGCTTCCTAAGGAGCTTCAGGCGACTAGCCTGGATTAGTCAATAATTTAAACTTGTCACAACTCATTAGGCCTAGAAGTGACAAAGTAAAGTTACGTGCTTGGTAGCGTTGGTGAACCTTGATATAAAAAGATATTGGGTTCGATACCAATTGCTGATCATGTTGAGTATGTATACGCACAAAAAGCATCAAGTGATTTGACTTGATTTCCCCCCTACAATTGGAAGAAAACTTCTGAATGTAGCATGACTTAAGCGGATTTGTGGAGTGTGTGCATCTTGAAAAGGTGCTGCTAGGTTGATTGGTGCACACTTTCTTCTATTCTCCACGGTTATGTCAAGTCGTATATTCTCTCAGATTTAGGAGCGTTGAGACAGCTTTTCCTGGCTGTAAGTTGCTATGTGCAGTTCATTTTCTTCTTTGGTCTCATGTGCTGCCACCACCTTGACACTCTGATTTGTGGTGGTTTCCAATTTTTGTTGGATCGTTAATCCTAATGCACATAAAGTTTTTTAAATCTTCAAAAATTTATGAAGCGCCTTGACCGTAGTTTTATTGACATCTTAATGAAAGCAGTGTTGCTATGCAACACAAATTCTATCCAACTTAACTCAGACGAATAAATTAACATCCACTTAAGTCAGCTATCATATGTCGAGGTGTTAATCTGTTAGAAGATTAAGACACAGAATCATCAATAAAAGTTTGCCAACAGGTTTTCACAAACCCCAAATTTAAAACTTTAAATTAGAAGTCAACCTCCCGACATTCTTAGGAGAATGTTGAATCACTTAGTATCGCTGTTTATCTACAATAGTTTATGTGAGGTGTGCTCTTCATTCCTTCTGGAATCCATGAAGAAACAAGGACATAAATGTAAATACTTCTTTTGAAATCGACACGCCGTGAATGGATGATTAGGAATTTTGCCTGAGATTTGGTTCACATGAAAGCAGAACGTGCACGAAGTTTACATATTCGAATAGGAAGCCAGGCACGTTTGCCAGTATCAAATCTGACTTTTGGGAGCATCATATTATATTACCTTTCAAGTTTTATCTGCTAAAAATTTTAGACTTGATTAGCACCTTAATTAGGATCTAATCTCACATTGGTGTTATTCCTTTTTTTCCTGGTCAGTAAAATATGAGTTATTTTTTTATTTTATTTTTTATATATAATTTTTACATCTATGAAGTTCCAGTTGCCTCGTGGGTAGCAAATATATGAATTAATTTTCACCAAGGATGATTCTGTTTCTACAATCGTGCGTGTAATTTTTAATAAAAGGGCCATGAATCTTGATCTCATGCTTTTGATGAGGTTCTGAACTTTAATTATATTATATGGCTCCACGAGGAGTTGAGTAGACTTTTGATACCTGCCATTACATAGTTAAACATGTGGATAGTTCTGTTTTTCCTATATAGTTGGTCAGCAAAGTGCAGCATTATGCTGTCTACCAAAGCGGTCAGCACCTTTTACTCTTCGTTTTCTTCCCTACAAAATCTTGACTACCGAGGGAGAGGGAGGGAGGGAGAGAGCGCGAGAGAGAAATTCATTATTTCTCTCCATATTAGTTGTTGAAGGAAATATTTACATGCTTTTATTTGTATGACCATTAATATACCTTTCATACATGGGTGTTTTCTGGATGCACCTAAAATTATATCCGCTCTAAATAGCTGGAAACTGACATTGAGGCCACCACATGTATACTTTGTTACTAGCGATGTGCATGGTTAACACGAGATTAGAACTGATGTTGTTTCTTCCACAGCTCCCCATTCACACAAAAAATGAGGAGCAGGATAGGAAAATTTAGCACTAAAACATAATATGTTATTCCATTTCTTATTGAACTGTGATGTTTGTTTGATAGCTTCAGTTCTGGAGTCTGAATGTATTACTGCATCAACTGATGAAATCGAGACATTGAAGGTATGATAATATGTCCTTTCACCTCCTTACCTTTTCATTCATATTATCTTTGTAACGGACTCTCATGTCTGTTCATAGAATTTTCATGTTGCCTATCTAGTCAATGTCTCTTGTGGTAGGAAATCCTTTTTTATTTTATTTGGAAGTCTTGCGGTAGGAAGTCTACCTTAGTTGGAAACTAGCAAACTAAAAGAAATGAAAGAAATAAGGGGAATGTAAATACAGAGAAGATTAAGGGCCTATTTGGAAACCACTGTGTAATTACTAAGGTAGTAATTATGGTCAAGTAATTACACACTATGGCTATTACGATGATCTGTTGTTTGTCATAACGTAATTACAGTGTAATTCTTAGTGTAATGTTTAGTTTCACAAGTGTAATTAGATAGTTTGATATTCTTTGTTTTAAAGAAAAGCCAAGTATAAAAAAATTAATAAACATTTTTCAGATGAACTTGTCAATAAATTTTAATGCGTGACAAATATGTGTGTATATAAGAACTTAAAAATGAAAAAGGAAAGAATTTGAGAAGTCACTGGGAATCATACATGTAATTACCACCTATTCTTTGCTCCTCAATTACACCCTATTCCAGGCTGACCAAGTAATTACTTGGCCAGACAAAACATGTCAAACTACGTAATTACACCCAAATCCAATTACAAGATGACCTTTCAAACAGGCCTTAAGTGATAGTTGGAGAAAACTTATCGTTTAGTTGCTATAGAGAATAAGAACAAGTTAAGGGATGCATTTTCATCTCTCTCATTCTCTTTCCCCTTTGGCTTTACCAAAGAAGGGAAGGGAAACGTATGGTCGCCTCTTTTTTCCTCCATTCCAGTTTTCAAAGAAAATTGTTAAGGATAAATAAGAAGTTGCGTTGTGTATTATTAGACTGGCTTCTAATAGTATCAGTTTTCATTTTGATTGCAGAATAAATCAGAAGAGGTTGAAGAATATCTAGATGGACGATGTATTTACCTCGTTGGTCAGTTGACTATGACTTTTCTGTTTAAATAGATACTTACGACTTATGCAAATCCTGTTAGAGCTTGTTTGTTTGCCAGCCTTTTATTTAAATCCTTAACCATTTCTGGTTATCCTGTTAGATATGGTAATACGACGCTTTTTCCTAAATATAGGAATGATGGGCTCAGGCAAAACAACTGTGGGCCGGATTTTGGCAGAAACACTGGGATATTCCTTTTTTGACTGGTGAGCTTAAGTAGCATATTTTTTCTTTATTTCTGTTCCCTGGAAATTGTAGATTCATGAGAAATATCATTCCATCAGTTTCTGAGGGCTAAGTAACTGGCATGAGTAGTGAAGCTCGATAACCAGCTGCCAATCTTGTCGTTAACTATCATTTGACACCCTCTACTCCAATTGCGGTTGTTGTTTCGTCTAATAAAGGCGAGTCATTCTCTTTTGTCCATCTTTCAGTGATAGGCTGATAGAGCAGGCTGTTGGTGGAACTACTGTAGCTGAAATCTTCAAGCTCCATGGAGAGAGCTTCTTTAGGGACAATGAGGTTAGGAGCTAAGCAACTTTCTTCTTTTGTTTTTTCTTGTTCTTGCTGCCACACATTGAAATGAAGGTGCTCGAAGTGCTTGATTCATGACGGGAGGTGTTACAATTGTGTTAAAAATTTGAAGTATTTCTTGTAGCCGTTGTTTCCGTCTAGTAACATGCTCGTTCAGTACAGATTGAATTGCCGGAAAATTGCTAGATTAACCTCTTAAGTATGACGTGTTACGGATAGGGGAACGGGAAGTGAAACTTTGACCAGATTGAACTAAGTGATGAGTGAGCCTCCATCTTTGACATGTCAGGTGAAATTGAGCATGTAAACTCTCATATTAGCTTTCTTGCCAAATAAGTGTGTGTTCTTATCTTTTTTGTGATGCTTGTATAAATGCAAAAAGAATTGGTGAAATATCCAGTAAGATTGCAAGTTGCTGTACCTTCTATTTTTGAAGTGAGAAAGTGCAAATTGCTGAGTAAACGAAATTCTCTCCCTTTTGGAAAATGGACATGGAAAAACTACATGAGCTTTCAGGGGTGAAGGAAGTTGATAGCGTGTTGGTTAGATGGGGAAAGTGGGGGATGTGAACTGGGTCATATTTGTGGAAAATGAAGGAGTGGGCAAATTCATTGAATTCTAAAGTATCTAGTGCATATCAGATTTGTCCAAAATAAATCTAAAGCTTTTATAAATACAGAGGGCATATTGGGAGATGTTTCGCCTGGATTCTGAACTACCATTTGTCAGTATGAAGAATTCTTTCTATTTAGGTTTGTACCTAAATTGTGCTCACTTGTTGTTGATTACGTTTTGTGTTTATTTTAATGTATCCACTTCTATTTTTGTGAAAAAAGGGATCTTGTGTTTTAAATTACAAATGAGGCAAATTCTATGAGAATAACTTCAATAGGCTATTGATCTAGTTCCCCTAACAATTAGTTGCACCGAGTTTGAAGTGCACTTCAGGTCTTCATTGAAAGATAAGTTACAGGCCAAATTACCAGTCATATCGATCTACTGATATGCCAAAACTTCTGTGGTTTAGATTTTATTGATCTGATGCACCTAAGTATATACATAAGCTCTAGACTGTCTCATCGGCACATGAGATACAATACGTCTTAGTTCTATATCACTTTACCAAGTCTAGCTGATACTAACACTCTGCTACTCCGTGTGGTGAGCAATTTTAATTGGTGTTATCATTGTGCTGATAATTTCTTTCCTCTCATTCCTGATATTAAATGGTTTTTCATTCCATATCTTCTATTTAGACGGAGGTATTGCACAAGTTGTCTGCGATGCATCGGCTTGTTGTTTCAACAGGTGGAGGTGCAGTTGTTCGTCCCATTAATTGGTACGTGAATCAGATTAGATTAATGAACATTTTTGTAACTCCTGGATCGTACGCTGTGGTTTTCTGGTGACATATGCTTATTTGGCTGCTATTAATGCTTTTCTCAGGAGACATATGCACAAGGGTATTAGTGTTTGGTTAGATGTTCCTTTAGATGCTTTGGCCAAGAGAATTACTGCTGAAGGAACTAAATCTCGCCCCCTATTACATGAAGAATCAGGAGACATTTATGATAAGGTAGTTTTCCTTCCAATAGTTAGTTTTATCATTTCCTGTTTTGACGCAGACATGTAGTGTTCGTCCTGCTGATACCTCTTTGACTTTGGTTAGACTTTGAAGCGGTTAACTACTTTAATGGAGACAAGGGGTGCAAATTATGCCAATGCAAGTGCCAGGGTTTCACTAGAAAGTATGAACTCCTCGTGCTCTGCTTCTTGTCCATAACTTCTACATTTTGAGAATTCAGTTTTCTGACCAAGCATCACACATCCTTCTTCCTAATGCTATAGTTACCTATTAAACACACTGATCATACATTTTCGTGGCCTGTATGTTGAAGTATAGATGTTTCAATTTTGCAGATATTGCAGTGAAAAAGGGAAAAGATGTCTGCCATATTACACCTACTGAAATTACTCTAGAGGTCCCTACTCTCTCTTGGCTCTCCGCCTCTGCATCTCTTTGCATGCATATATGTTTATGCTAATACGTATTTCGTGACATACTTAAAGTGATTTTCAATACTTGTCTACTTACATTTTCCTCCCTCTTCCGGTGATATTCTGTGCTCGTTGCTTCATGTACACTGCCAATAAACCTAAATATCAGACCAAACTCGATATTCATCTTGCTAACAATATCCAGTATGCACGTGTGCAGGTTCTTATACAAATTGAGAACTTAAAGAAACAAGAGAGCGTAGTTGTGCTATAAGATTTTTTACCTCCCAAATGGGGGCGAGCCAGGCAGGCGGTTTGGTGCTCTGCTTTGATGTTTGCTTTCTTGACGAGGAGACAAGGCCAAGTTTTTTGGTGTTTGAAACACTTTGAGGAATTAGTAATGTTTTTCTATTATGCACTGGATATCTAATTGTACATAATCAAAAACCATTTGTTGGAAGGTGGAACTGTAGTGTATCTTAAACCTTCAATTGTTGTATACTAAAAACGAGAATGCAGTAATTTATTTGTTATTTTAAAGTGTCTAACAGAATTAAGTATCCATAATTCACGATATATAGGGAGAATGAGCACATTTAAGTGTATTTTGCAGGACGTAATGCTGAATGAACTAATTTTTATTACATTTTGCAGCTTACACCATGGCTTCGTAAAGGAAATGTTAGTTTCTTTTTTAGTTTTTTTTCCTGCAAAATTTTTTATTGAAAGAATCTTTTTTTTCTGTCTTTTTTCCTTTTCCCTTGGCATTTTAATTTCTTCTTTATTTACTCTGAGCTGGAAATGCAAACCCTACACGTTATACTAGAGCACAAAGTCCTTTTTTTTTCCTTTTGGGTGGGGATAATGTGCTGGAGTGATGAATATGAACTTGCTATGGTCCATTGTAACGTATGAGACTTGAGTCCTATATCGGTATTGTAATGTGCTGATGTGGGGTTTAAATAGTCTTGGGCTCTCCCACTTTAATAGCTAGTTTTTGGGGTGTGGTTCTCCATGCGTTGTATCAGAGTTGCGCTTATCTGAAATACTATATTTGTTATAAACTTATAATCTAAACTAATGGATTTCATCAATCAGCAGTTTCGACTTTTAATTTTCATTCCAGAAAAGAGGTAGGTGAAGTGGAACTAGAATGGTGACTATTTATTATTATTATTATTATTATTATTATTATTATTATTATTATTATTATTATATAAAAATAAGATGAGTTATTCCTACTATCTTAGTAATAATGCTTAACATTATTTATCTCATAAAAACTAAGAAAACTTGGAAACCGTTTCTTTTCCAGGTGATAATAAAACTAAATGATCTAAATATTGGAGTGAGGGAGGGGGAGGAGTAATACTAAATTGTAAAAATTATTCAACATATACCTCATAAGCAAGGTTTGATGCGTAATTTTAGGATGAAGCAGCAGAAAAATAGAAAAAGAAAGAAAAGGAAGTCTATAGTCCATTTATTTTCTCAACAAAAATAAAAAAGGTACAAGTAATAAAATGCAAAATTCAAATGGAAGAAACCAGTAGAGTGTTCTCAATTCGAACACAACCAGTAGTATAGCAAACGACTATTACCGGTATGTTATGAAATAAAAGCAATTTAGTAAAACATGAACAAGAAATAAAAGCAATTTAGTAAAACATGAACAAGAAATAAAAGCAATTTAGTAAAACATGAATAAGAAATAAAAGCAATTTAGTAAAACATAAACAAAAAATAGAGATAGAGAGAAGGAAGAGATTTTCTTCTTCAATTGTGTGTATTTTCCTATCTATTACAAGGCCTTTATATAGGCATAAAAAGTGAAAAAAAATATGTTATGGAATATGTCATTGAACATACAAAATATGTCATTGAATATGTCATTAGACATTTGAGATCAAGATCATGGAAGAAGAGTAGACATCCACCATAATGTGATATTTATCATAACATTCCCCCTTGGATGTCCATAGATAATGTGCCACGTTAAAACCTTACTAGGAAAAAACCCTATGGGACAAAATCCTAGTGAAGGAAAAAGAGTACACATGTTTAGAAATAGCCTTTTGGTTGCCTCGTTAAAAACCTTGCAACGAAAAACCTAGTGGGACAAAACCTTGTAAGGGAAAAAGAGTACAACGCGTATTAACTCCCCCTGATGAGAGCATCAATTCACATCCTTGATCATTCACATCTCAATCTTATACACTAGTTTCCTGAAGGTTGACGTCGGTAGAGATTTGGTGAACAAATCAACCATATTATCACTTGAACGAATCTGTTGCACATTGATATCACCATTCTTTTGAAGATCATATGTGAAAAATAACTTTGGTGAAATGTTATAGACCTCAACCAAATACATTCTCGACTTGCTTCATGAATAGCAATTATCTCAGCATGATTAGAAGAAGTAGTCATAATTGATTGCTTAGTCGATCGCCAAGATATGACAGTGTCTCCACATGTAAACACATAGCATGTTTGAGATCAAGCCTTGTGTGTGTGTCAGATAAATACCCCACATCAGCATAATCAACAAGATCGGTATTGCAATCATTGCCATAAAATAAGCCTATATCGGTAATCCCCCTTAGATAACGCAATATGTGCTTGATTTCATTCCAAGGTTTCCTTGAGCGGAGCTATATCTTGCTAAGACATTAGCTGAAAAAGTTATGTCAGGCCTTGTAGTGTTAGCAAGATATATTAGCGCACCAATTGCATTAAGATATGGTACTTTAGGACTAAGAAGCTCTTCATTATTTTCATGAGGTCGGAGTGGATATTTATTTATATCGAGTAATCTTACAACCATCGGGGTACTTAATGGATGTGCTTTATCCACATAGAAGCTCTTTAAAATCTTTTTAGTGTATGCTGATTGATTAATAAAAATTTTATCTTTCATATACTCAATTTGTAGACCAAGACAAAAAGTCTTTCCAAGATCTTTTATTTCAAATTCTTTCTTTAAACAGTCTACTGCTTTAGAAAGTTGTCTCGGAGTTGTAATGATATTTGAATCATCAACATACACAGAGATTATAACAAATTCAAATCCAGATCTTTTTATAAAGATACAAGGACAAATTGAATCATTCTTGTA